TTTACCAAATAAGGAGACAGGTGGTCACCAGAAAATCTATCCAATCTTCCAACCAATTTACTAAATAAGGAGACAGGTGGTCACCAGAGAATCTATCTAATCTTCCAACCAATTTACCAAATAAGGAGACAGGTGGTCACCAGAGAATCTATCTAATCTTCCAACCAATTTACCAAATAAGGAGACAGGTGGTCACCAGAGAATCTATCCAATCTTCCAACCAATTTACTAAATAAGGAGACAGGTGGTCACCAGAGAATCTATCCAATCTTCCAACCAATTTACTAAATAAGGAGACAGGTGGTCACCAGAGAATCTATCCAATCTTCCAACCAATTTACCAAATAAGGAGACAGGTGGTCACCAGAGAATCTATCCAGTCTTCCAACCAATTTACTAAATAAGGAGACAGGTGGTCACCAGAGAATCTATCCAATCTTCCAACCAATTTACCAAATAAGGAGACAGGTGGTCACCAGAGAATCTATCCAGTCTTCCAACCAATTTACTAAATAAGGAGACAGGTGGTCACCAGAGAATCTATCCAATCTTCCAACCAATTTACCAAATAAGGAGACAGGTGGTCACCAGAGAATCTATCCAGTCTTCCAACCAATTTACTAAATAAGGAGACAGGTGGTCACCAGAGAATCTATCCAATCTTCCAACCAATTTACTAAATAAGGAGATGGGTGGTCACCAGAGAATCTATCCAGTCTTCCAACCAATTTACCAAATAAGGAGATGGGTGGTCACCAACACGTCACTCCAATCTCCAAACCAAATTGTCTGACCACCAATCTTCTCTCTATAAACACTGCAGCGTCTCCCACAGCTTCTTGTATAGACACAGTATATGACAGGTAAGATGAGGTAATTGAATGCAGCATCCTCACTCTATGGCTTCTCTGAACACCCCCCCCCTACACCCCCCTACACCCCCCCCCCCACAAACACACACAGTTTCTGGTATAGGGACACTATGACAGGTACCTAGACAATAACCCTCCATTGAAGGTTATGTAAGGAAAACTAACGTGAAAAAAAATGGTATCGAGGTATATATTTCGTCATAATTTTGTACTTATTTTAATTTAAACAACCTACAAAATAATTTCTTTCTAAAATGATGTTACATGGCAGTCAAAGAGTGACCTGTTTTGATTTTAACGAAATCTTTAGATCTACGAAATCTAAATATTGGAGCCTTAAAGGTCAAGTACTTGATCAAAGCAACAAATGGTTTATCAAAGCATTGTACCAGATGAAAAGAGTAGCAGAAGAGAGTGAAGCGAAACCCCCATCAAATCATCAATTAGTCCGTTACTACAATTTGTTTTAACAAATTTGTTTAAACCCACAAATTGACACACGTAATATTTACCAACCTCTTTGTCATAGCAACTCCACACATATGTTTACCCTAGCAACCAAACTTACACAATGTCTCTTACAATGTGTTTTACTATAAGCCATTTGATTTGACACTTTACGAACATCAGAATGCCGTGAAGTTTTCTGAATTTTTTAAAATTCATGAACAACAGCAAGAGAAATATTCACAACATAATTTAGAATTTTAAAGATTATTTCCCCGTTGATTACTGCTTGTTAGCCATAAAAATAATTTAAAATCTACAAAATGTCCATTCACGTAGAGTATCTGGGCCACTAAACTTGACTGAAAACTAAATTCGATGAAAGTCGAACTGCTAGGATCATCTGGAAAGATAAAGTTGTATGCACAACATATACTCTCCAACTTGATTCAATCAATAAACTGAATCCTTTTGTTCAAGTCTTTAGTGATGCTTTTGTTTAAAAACAAATCTCAATTTATTTCCTCCCGATATCTCAGTTGCGTGTAAAAATAATATTTTCAGCTTTAACCATCAGACATAACAAATGTTATAAACACAAGAACAATTTTTAAATAGCCTTCGTCAGATGAGAAACCTCAGCATAACAATCGGATCCTTAAAGCCAGTATGACGTCATTAGAACTATGAAAATATGAAGCTGTTGAAATGCTGATTGATGCCCAGAAAGAGGCGTAAGATATATTTTATCTGACCTGGGAGTAAAATAAAAACAGCGGAAGCCATATTTCCTTTTTTTAAAAGCTCGGGTGCCCATAAGCCTAAAATCCGCCCTTGCTAAAGATCTGTATAAGAGCCGAATGGCCTGTTAGGAAGATTTATTTTTCTCTCTCTCATATAAAGTGTGCCAATTTTTCCTAACAAAAGTTAAGAATGCAACGTTACGACGCAATATGTTATTGTATTATGAATGCTCAACTTCCTGATATATCACTGCACCTCACAAAACAAATACAAAAAACACTAGTTTATATTTTCAGTTAAATTACACATACTTTTAACAACCCCCCCCCCCCCATTCCTTACATACAACCCAGAGGCGTAGGGACCGTTCCGGCGCCGGGGACAAACTTTCGATTTGCATCCCCCCCCTCAAGATTTCGATTTGCACCCCTCTCAACCTTTCAATTTATTTTTCCAACCCATGTGTCCCCTCCCGCCTCCCCCCCCCCCCTCGCTACGCCTCTGACACAACCAGAAACAAAACAAACCTACAGAAATTACCTGTGTGTGCCGTAAATATCCAATTTATTCTTTAAAAAATAAATTTAAAAAAAAAACCTAATTTTAAAGTTCAGAACTAACTTCAAATTATAACTCAAGTAGGCTAATTTTTCTGTTTTG